CCTACATCCACTAACTCCCGGCTATGTATTAGAGGTTCTCACTCCATCTAGTGAGGGGGTCGTCCTATACTACATTTGTCCGTTTGAGGTCACTACTCCAGAACCTTTCTTCATTAACGGTTATCGGTTCCTCGAGCTATGTGACCAATCCATTGCCACTTCAGCTTGCTTATCCATCGGACTATGTCGGTGACTTTAATAAGCATTGCAGGGAATCAGTGGATGCAGGTAGCTCAGGATCGTTCCTTATGGCAGTCTATGGGAAGCCTATATCCAGCGCCTATATCCAGCAGTGGACGGATAATAGCTGAAAGTATAATGATGTAGGATTTTAATGAGTGTTTTTTTTTAATAATGTTGACGTGAATTTTATATACACAAGTGCAATACATACAAATAAATGGGAATGACGTATTTTACCTAAGTAAGTATATTGTTCGTTTATCCAGACTGGTGTTTGAAGAGTCTGCTTTAAACGTACGTAAATTAAATACTTATTCATAAATGTATGAGACATGAACAATGGAATTATTATTTATTGCATTTAAACGAATGAATTGTCTATAATTTCCATTAACAATTGCATTTTTATTATATTTATTTCACGTGTCATTTGTATTGTTTCGTTCAATCTCGCATAGGACAATTTTTATATTTTAAAGGGGTCAGATGTAAAACGCGCAAACATTATTTACAACTTTAATAATTTAACAATACGATAATCCAATACTTTTTGTCTTATATGAAATACCGTGAAGCATACATCGATAGTAGTAATTAATCGGAGTATGTAACCTACGAAGAAGAGAGCGCACTTCATACAAGCTATCTAAAACGATTCGGTTAGTAATATCTCACCAATCTACACAAAAATTCTCCTTTTCTTGTTATGTTGGCAAACCTGATGTTTAAAATGGAAACGAACTGATTTATTAATATATTACAGTTTGATAGTAGAAACGCCAATCATCTGATAAAAGAAATATCTAAATTTTATGTCCAATTGCATGTTCAGATAATCACAATCTCGATTACATTGTCAATTCTGAACAAATTGTGATAATTCCGTTTACAAACTATGGGTTTAATTGCCGTGTTATTTCCATATCAGTTTGGTGACGTTTAAAGCTCTTCGTATTTCTTTGCAAATTACAAAAACTGCTTGTTGCAAAATTTTCGAATAATAATCAATGTGTACTCAATATTCCGTGTTATTATTATTACATAAATATTTTTAATTTAATGTCTTCTACAAAACATCTTGTCGTTTGTCGATGGTTTTTATTCTATAATTATTATACTGACGACTTGACTTCACACGGCTGTGTTGGTTGTCTACCTACATAAAATGTTACCTACATTTTCTACACGAGACACCTTTTGAAAATATATTTAATATATATATCTTTACCCCTTATTTATATATATATTTATAATTATATTACCTTCCTAAAGACACCATATTCCCACACCAACTTACGGTACTTTCATCCATACAAAAGTTTTATTAGGATGTATTGTATATACGGGCCTTCCGTAAAACTTCCGTAAACAGATGTCTTAATATTAGTAAAGTAATTTTTCACGTAGTTTAGAAGCAATAAAAGAAAAATTAGATATAAGTGTGATAGAGTGGCATTGTTTTACATTACCTATGTAGATATTGCATTAGCAAAACTACCACGCATAAATGCAATTTCTTATTACGAATTGGCATTGCGGACCCTAAAATCTGCGGTATCTATGTATCTAATTATCTGCAAATCAATTGGCCACAGATACAAAATAATTGAATGCTGTATTAGCAAAAACAGTTCCGCCACGGAACAAAGCGGTTTCCGCTTGTCTATTTCCCTGCCATTGTCTTAATGCAATTGAACAGCGCTTAGAAAGCATAGGTTACACGTTTTTAATGTCAAAGGTTTGATAAATTCACAATGTGAAGGAATTTAGTTTCTAGAGAAATATGCGTATGACAGACTAACGAGCGGCGAGTTATCTGTACGCAATACGGTTATTAAAAAACTTTTTTTTATTATTATTACTAGTAATAAAAAAATAATTAAAGTTTGTATCCCACAAAAGTAACACACTTCAATTGTGACAAAACTAGTTATTGTGAACTAAAAACTAAGCTACTATACAGGTTATAATAAATTTTTAATGTAAGTCGAACTGTATGTTAGGTGAAAACTCTCGTAGTTTTTAGGTCCCCGTATATAATATGCTACCCTTTCTTTTCCCGTGTATGTTGTAAGAGGTGATTAAGAGAGGGCCATATATATATATATATATATATATATATATATATATATATATATATATATATATATATATATATATATATATATATATATATATATATATATAATGTTATACCTATATGTTATAATGCAATATGCTGTTGGTGTTCCTTAAATAAATAAATAAATATAAATAAATATATATATATATATATATACCACTAAGGTGGCAAATAAGGTGGCGGCCCACCTGATAGTACCTGGTAGGTTACCGGAGCTTATGAACGCCTGCAATACCAGGGGGATTACGTGCGCGTTGTCACCTCTGAAGAAACCTCTTTACTCCTTTTTTGAAGAACCCCATCCTGTAGTTTCTTGGAAAAACCTTTTTTCATTATTATATATTATTAGCTGACCCCGTAAACGTCGTTTTACCACTTATTGCGAAATATAAAAATCGCGATTAAGATACAGGGATTGATCGTAAAACGATGAAAATTTATAGTTGTATGTATTTTTCAATGCTAAATTATAATAAAATAAAAATAAAAAAAATTGTCAAAAAAGTAAAAAAAAATATTTTGGGGTGGGTCACCCTTATCACTGACGGGTATGAAAAATAGATGTTGGCCGATTCTCAGACCTACCCAATGTGCGCACAAAATTTCATAAATATCGGTAAAGCCGTTTCGGAGGAGTTAGGTAACAAACACCGTGACACGAGAATTTTATATATTAGATATATAAATATAATTTCAAGTTCTAGAGAAAGTACAATTGTCACTTATGATTACGCTTACTACTTACGTATCTCAAGTGTTCTAGCCATCATTGTATTTCGATGTCCATACAGTACAGCATTCATTCAATGCTTTTGTCCTCGTACATTAATGCATAGAATAATGATCCGTAAAATCACGGACGAGAATTGACTAAAATAGAAATTTGCCTCGAATTTTTCACGGAGCGCAATACAATACGAAATTCTTTTTGTACAATTACCTAGAGGTTTGTAATTTGATGAAATAAAAATAAATACTACTTGTACCCAACTTATTTAATCGCCTAAATCCCGTTGTCTCACTTTCTCAGAGGGAGACTTTGTACAAAAGTCAATTGCTTGGGTACCTCTGTCACATTCGTGTTTCTACCGTGAAGCAGTTGTGTTTGCGTGGCTGTGTTTCGGTTTGATGGGTGGGGTATGGCGTGAATTTACAGGGTATAGAGGAATAACACCTGAGTTCTCGGGAGTGAAAACGCATGGGGGGTATCATGGGCGAAACAGAATACTCTGTTATGTCCATGGTACTGCTCATGTCTATAGGCGACAGTTGCCACTTTCCATCAGTTAGGCTGTCAGCTAATTTGCGGTTCTAAATTGTATAAAAAAAGATTTGACTTGTTGCTATATTCGACAAATCGTCGTCAAGTTCTATATAATATAAATAAATAAGTCTATTTTATTTTTATTTTAAATGTATTTTAGTAATGATAAGTTTGTGTTTCACAAAAAAACCGACTCTAATAGTGACAAAGTTATTTTGATTAAAAGAGAAACAAATAATTTGTTTTAAAAACTAAACCTCTCAACCGATTTTGATAAAACTTTTATTAGACCAATCTGAAAATATATCCATTCAAATAAGAAATACTTTTCCAATTCGGGTTTTAAATAACGGACTTATGAGGTTACAAACATAACAAAAAAAAAATACAACCGAACCGAATTGAGAGCATGCCCCTTTTTTGAAGTCGGTTAAAACTAATCTAATCCCAAATTAACAAAAGACTGTGAAACCTTAATTACTGAAAGTAATGTACACCGAACAATACCTAAGACCTAATGTCCATTGTCAGACAAAACATTCAGGTTGTCTGTGTCCAGTAACAATAAAAGAAAAACAATAAAAAAAAACAACAAAGTCAAGGCGCGAACATTAGCCACACTAGCAGTTGAATCATGTCAATAAATTCATGACAATACTTTCAGATTAGTCGTCATTTAGCGTTCAAAATGATGATAATAAAGAAAAAGCTTTTACTGATAGCTATGCACTTATATATAGACAACAGAAAAAAAATAAAAAATAAATCCGCCTGTGAACCTCAAACCGCGCCATTTTCTTTATAACCTCAAATATTGACACAAATATTGTCAAATTTGAATGTATAATACAACTAATACATACTTGTATTCTTTAATCATAATTGATAAATTTTTACTTTAAAATGTTAGCCACTAAATACTAACTAACATGTGCTAAGACAAAATTTGCATGTCTTTATATAAGGCGAAATGTGTAGCTCAGTTACCATTTAAGACCTTTGTACCACATTTCAAGCAAATTAGTAGTTTTTTTTTTAATAAACAGCTTTCTATTTGCAAGCCAGTTCGAAATTTAAATAAAACCTTTTATTAGTTACCTCCTTGTTAGCCATGTTTCGAAGTAAAAGGTCATTCCATTTTTAAATTACAGGACAGATATGAGTTTACATAGTAATTTATCTGGCCATAAAACAAGACAGATATGGATTTTTATACAACTTTTGCCGGCCGCTGCCCGCATGTATCTGACCAGTACGGCAATTTTGATTTATCTCGAAAAAGATTGTCAAAATAATGCTCACATTTCCAAGCATGTTTGAGAAAAAAATATTATTATAATAAATATATGACGTGATAAGGATAGTGAATATAATCAATATTCAGCATTTGCTATGGCAAGCACAAGTAACGATGTCTCTTTCCCTCTTTAGGAATTGGAGCAAGAAAAACATCTGCTTCGACGGCGGTTGGACACAGCGCAAGGGGAGTACGAAGCGAGGTTACTGGAGCTGCAGAATGACATCAGAGAACTCACAACCAAGATCGACTCACGGGACACATCAGTTAAACAGGTAGACTTTAACATATTTTAAGATTAGATTCAGTAGTCAGGACATTTTAGCAGTTCGGTGTCCTTGTGTGCTTTGCAAGCTGCTTTCTGATTTTCCATCGTAGTTTCTCTGAAGTCGAGTTAAAATTTTTAAGACATAAAGGAATTAATCCTTTCTTCATACGAGTCTTCTTAGCACAAAATCTTATAAAAGCAAAACATACTTACATATACTTTATTAACTATCACTTACTTTACCATATATTTCTTTTTTTTTTTGTTTATACAACTTAGAATGGCAAACAAGCTGACGGCCCACTTGATAGAAAGTGGTAACCGTCGCCTATGGACATGAGCAGTACCATGGACATAACAGAGTATACTGTTTCGCCCATGATACCCCCATGCGTTTCCATTCCTGAGGACTCAGGTGTTATTCCACCGTACCCAGTAAATTCACGCCATATCCCATCCTTCAAACTGAAGCACAGCCATGCAAATACAACTGCTTTACAGTTGAAACACGAATGGGACAGAGGTACCCAAGCAATCGACTTTTGTACAAAGTGACCCTCCTTTATTCGACTTTTCCCTTTTCGATTTTACACCACGAGTATGAGCCAGTGACCGCATCCATACAGGGTAGACCGCCCGCGTTCAGGAGGGAAGGGATTATTAGTAACGCAGGCTACCAGTCCCATTGCTAACAATATACCCTGTCAGGTCGACCTCCACGTGGTCTCCCCTGGAAACCATCGTGAACAATTCTTGTTGAATTCGTCACGATGGGCTAACTGACCCGCTTCATCCTCACCTATTATCCTTCCTGGTGTATTAATCACAATAGGTTATAGGGGGGAAAGGAATTGTTAGCGATGGAGTCTAACAGCCCCAATGCTAGCAATGTTACTAATCAGGTCGACCTCCACGTGGTTCCCCCTGGAAACTATCGTGTTGAATTCCTGGCGTATTAATCACGATGGGCTAATTGACCTGCCCTTTCATCGTCACCTATCATCCCTCACTGGTGCCTTGCCAGCATATACTGTTAACACAGGCGGAGTAACCATTCCATTATCGTCTATTAACTTTAATTTATTGATGTACCAGACAAACAATTAAGTAATTATACTTACCTAATATAATATATGTAAGTAACAATATTCTTAATATTCCCAAACGAAACAATGAACTTCTGTTGTACCCCTGACCTTAAAATGAGGACAAAAAGCGGTTTGCACTAAAAAAAAACTCAGATTTTATGTAATTAACATTGAAAATAGACAACGGTGGCTGTATATGTGGTAAATTGAGTCAAGGCTCCTAGATGGGTCCCACTGTGAGCGATATTGTCTTTACTCAGTGATATTATTTTTTTCTGTAAAAGATAGTGTTTTTTTATTGAATGAAAATAGATTGGTAACCCCGCCTGCGCTAACGGGATACGCTGGCAAAGCACCAGTGAAGGGTGATCGATGAGGATGAAAACAGGCCAGTTAGTCCATCATGATGAATTCATCTGGAATTAATCATGATAATTTCCAGGGGGAACCGAGGAGGCGAGGAGGTAGACCTGGTTATATTGCGAGCAATAGGATTCTCAGTCTCCATTATTAACAATCCTTCCCCCCAAAAGATAGTGTTGTAAATCGTCAAATATATAATTTATTAGATTATTAGAAAGAAAAAATATATTCAGAGAGAATTGTATTTTTTTATATTAGAACAATAAAAGACAAGACAATAGGTAATGTAGAACAGTAATTTTAAAATTATGTCAAAGTCTATGTATCAAAATATTTCCAGCCATTATCAACAGATAAAACTGGTGTAACCAACGGAAATCAACTATTAGCAATATATGAAACTGAGTAACTTTTCCCAAGGAACCAGGAATGCATCAGAATATTTTAAAAAGTAATTATCAAGACCATTTATTAATTACTTTTTTTATTATACTTAAAATGGCAAACATATTGACGAGGCACCAGATGGAAAGTGGTATCCGTCGCCTGTAGACATGGATATAGTTATTATTGTTAATATTTATGTATTTTTATGTATACGTGTATTATTATTTTCCAGGTTCTCATATTTTCTTTTATTTTTTAAAGCCACTTTCAAGATTCTATTTATTTTTGTGCCTTGTACATAATTAAGACACTAATTCTGAACCGATTGTGATGATTACTTTGAATCGAAAAATATATATAAATATGTATTTTGTTCTGATTAAAATATTTTCGATCTAATTTGAATATGAAATATCTTGTCACAGAATCACGTCTTTTAATTCAATTGCAGTCGCCGTTATTTTCTTTTTATGTGCTATGTGCTTTTTCCTTTATTTTGATCGCAACTTAGAATAACAACAAAAAAAAAAAAAACACCGTGGACGTAATGGAGTACACTGTATCGCCCATGATACCCATCACGCGTTGCCATTCTGAGGACTAAAGTACTACTACTATTCCTTTTTAACGGGTCCTCCATAAAAAAGCGTCATTTAAAAATATTCTCAGGAATCGAACATGGAGTGACAATTTCAAATGCATTGCAAAGATCAGTGTGTGCAGATAACTCAGGACCGTTCTTTATGGTCTATGAAGGAGGCGTATGTTAAGTAGTGGACAGATAACGGCTGATATGATGACGATGATTATGGTGATGATAAAAAAAAATACTTTTTTCCACACCGCTAACAATGCGACCACGCGTCGAAATAGAAACCTTAGCGGCAACGAAAAACTGCGTGTTCGACATTACGTTATTTGATCATAATCTAGTTAGTACTACTATTCGTACACAATAGGTAGTAATGTCCTTCGGCGTTGCGCGTTTTTGGCAGCGCTTGTCTATATTTTGTGATACAATGGTATCTTTTTTTATACTATTCAGAGGGTCCCACAATTGATCACAATCTCACCTAATGGAAAATTATGATGTGGTCTAAGATGGGACTCGCGGGCCCACAATTGTGTTACAGACACAATTTTTTAAATATTTTTAAATTTAAAATATGGGACCCAACAGTCGCACCCTATCGCAATGCCATCTACCAAATTCAATTATGATTCTAAACTATAAAAGTATCTAGTTAAACACATAAAAAAATCATCAAAATCGGTCAAGGAGTTTAGGAATAAAGCAACAAACAAACGTACTGACAACGTTCTCACCAGAGGGAGACTTTGTACAAAAGTCGTTTACTTGGGTACCTCTGTCCCATTCGTGTTTCTACGATGAAGCAGTTGTGTTTGCATGGCTGTGTTTCGTTTTGTAGGGTAGGATACGGCAGTGAATTTATAGGGTACAGAGGTATAACACCTTAGACCTTAGGAATGGCAACGCATGGAGAGTATCATTTACGAAAGAGTATAATCTGTTATTGTTCATGTCTATAGGCGACGGTTACCACTTGCCATCAGGTGGGCCGTCAGCTTGTTTACCATTCTAAGTTGTATAAAAAAAATGTATACACCTGGAATTCAACAGGATGGTTTCCAGATGAAACCATCTGATGAGGTATATTGCTAGCAATGGGACTGGTAGTCCGCATTACTAAAAATCCCTTCCCTCCAATATTTGTAACTTTTTTTAATGGATAATGAAGGAATGACAACTCCGTCTGCGCTAACGGTATACACTGGTGGGGCATCAGTTGAAATGACAGGTGAGAATGAAATGGCAGGTCAGTTAGCCAATCGTGATGAATACATCTTGGTGCCCACACTATGGTCCAGGGGGAGGCCACATAGCAGTCGACATGACAACGTATATTGACATTAGCTGTACCATGGACGTAACAGAGTATACTGTTTCGCCCATGATACCCCCCATGCGTTGCCATTCCTGAGGACTCAGGTGTTATTTCTCTGTACCCAGTAAATTTACGCCATATGCCACCCTTCAAACCGAAACACTGCCATGCAAACACAACTGCTTCACGGTTGAAACACGAATAGGACAGAGGTACCCAAGCAATCGACTTTTGTACAAAGTCTCCCTCTGGTAAATCATCTCCTTTTATGATATAAAAAGTCACGGTATCAGCTATTAACTGTCCAATCCTAAATAAAGGCTTACCACATAAGGCACATACTTACGGACTCTTCTTAGCAGATAAGAAGTTTCCGAACCCAGCAGTGGATTTAAAACAAAAATAACGATTTAAAAATGCTTGGAAACAAGTCTATTTAAATAAAGATATTTTAAACCTTCAGGTGGGCCGTATGCTTGTTTGCTACCTCAGTGGTGTAAAAAAAAACATTTATGAGTGTAGTAATGTTAATTTTTACCCGTGACTTCGTTCGCTCAAAAGCGATAATACTAGCCTATGTCGTCCATGTCAAATATCACTATATACCAAATTTCATGGGAATAGAGTCATAGAGAAGCTTAGAGCTTGTAACAAACAAAATATAATTAGACAAACAAACAAAAGAAGTTAGTAATTTATAATAATAAGGATAGTAGGACAGAATGGATGATAATATAATAAATCCCTGTTTCAGAAATATAATTCTCAACTTTGAAACATTATGGATTTTTATTTATATTTCCCCCTGGTAAATTTAAGCCGTTAAGATACTATAATGTAACAAACAAGTAAGAAAACTCACTTTCACAGGTTAATTATATAAATAAAGATATCGGTTCAGACTTGGAAACATAATCGCACGCGATTACACGGCTGCAAAAAATATTAGAAGCTTTAAGAACCTCATACATTTGGGAGTCATTTATAAATGAAAATAATAAAAATACAGTTTTACCTACTAACTCATCGAATGACATAGCGTTATGGGGGAATTATGAAAGTCAAGGTCGTACGACGTTTATGAAATATCAAATGACGCAATTTTCCATGAATTTATGGTAGTCAGCCACCCCTAAGAGGGCTGGTCTCATGGCCAATTAAGTAATTAATATCAAATGTAGTATAGGAATAATGAACATCGGTTGTAAATTTCCATTATATATTACGCTATTTTTAACCGACTTCAAGAAAGGACGAGGTTC